GTTCATGACTCATGACAGATGCACAAATGCACTATTCATATTTTTGACACATACTGTGAAGTACAGTGCTCCTGAAGTCCTGCTCTACTCTTCACAGCCAGCCACCGAAATGAATATTCAAGGCTGTTTAAGGTGCAGTTATATTTAGGATGTTTTTCGTGGAAGCAACAGCCTCCCACAAACTTAGAGCACAGCCTCTGCAAAATTCTTAATCTTTGCTGTTTAATCGCTGTGTCGAACAAAAGCACGGTGGAAAAAGAAATGTGCGCGTGTGCGTATCTAAACTGACTGGATAGTATACCGTAAAAAATCTTTTTTATTCTGTATGATAAAACATTCATCTTAAAGTGAGAATGGTGGTTGGAGAAGAGCATTGTGGTGTGAGAGAGAACGTTTTCCTTTGATCAAAACGGGATGAACGCGGAACCTGTAGCAGGCGCCTGATGGATGTTTTGTACTCGGCTGGTTTCATGAAACAAGATGCGTTTCCAGGAAAAGTGAGGGGAGCGTTTAGAGCAGCTTCATTTCTTTTTTGCCACGGCAAAGGAAACGTTTCCTGGATTTCTTTTTCATGCAGCAGCGTTCACCTCCAGTAAGACAAAAGAGCCCAATAGTAATCAGCATCTATTATTTAGGCCGGGATTGCATTATTGATCACGGCTTTGATCGGGCGTAAGCAGAGACTGAAAGGGGGGAAAAAGAAAAATGGAGTATAAATGTCGAAAATGTTTTAATTATGATCGCAGGTATTTTGTTCATGGAGGTGGAACAAAGCACGTTATGCTGGATGCATGAATGATAGATGAGTTCTGCATTTGAAACCTTTTAGTCTGTCAGTCATTAAGCACAGAGCCATTTTCACGGCTGTTTTTTGTAGTACAAATTCAATTTGAAAGAAACTGACATTTTCAGTTCTAAGGAGTCAGTGAGCCCTCGCATCCATTTCTGAGTTAAACCACAGTTTGCCTCGACTCCATCAGCCTAATCCTGCCTACCATATTAGATAGGCCACGCAATTCCAGCTGAGATGGAGAGTCCCAACCTGCCGACTTACGTCTCGGTAATAACCTGACCGGGCTCCTGAAGGCCAATTTTAGCCAGAAAAAGCCCACTTAGATTCTCTGTGAGACAGAGAAGCGGGGATAAGTTCTGCAAAGCCACTTAGCAACTGGGAAAAATGGGATTCCTGACCCGCTGCACGGCGTTCCGGGGCTGCTCTCCGGCTGACAGGGCGCTGGCAGGTGGGAGAGGCAGGGGCGGGCGGAGGAATGGATGGATGCTGCTGCAGGTGATGATGATGTAGACCACCAGGACCTCATTAGCTCAACATTTCATCAAACGCCGTGGCACCGGGGCAGCTCTCACTGTCTCTATATATCTCTTTCTCTTCCGCCCTCCTTTCCATTTCCTCGGTTTCATCACTTTCGGGCTCCGTCCGTGGGTTCCGTTTCTTCCCCGGCTCTTTTTTCACGTCTGACTCCTCTCTCCTCCAGCACCTTCAGGTCTCATTAAGCAGATGAGCCTGATACTGCTTCTAATCTGCCACTAAGTCAAAGTCAGAAGATGATAACGATAATGACGCCACCGCCACATACTTCCACTGTAGCTAAAGTCATTTATTTTTGCTAATGCCGGGAAAATGTAAATTTGTTATGGCAATAAGGATGTAAATAGCAGCCACATTTCCGCCGGGGCGATATTTCAGAGCACATTAAAGGGCTCTGCAGTCCTGGTTAGCATATCATTGATTTTCAGAGTGGAGGTCTACGTGAGATCCCAGACTCACAAAGCACATGTGAAGCCGCACCGCAAATCCCAGCAAAGAGCGCAGGGAAGAGCACGGCATACATATATAGGTCCATGAACATGATTTATGTGCATGCTGTGGAGAAAAGGAGGCCACACACTGAAAGGGTGTTAGACATATAAATGTGAGACTGCCAGTGGTGTCTGAAACAGAGTCTGGATCCTTGACAACAAAAGGAAGCTGTAAATATCAGAGACAGCGAGCAGAAAGATGTTCTGCTACTTTATTCATAAACAGGATGTGAACCAACACATGCACAAAGAACTCTAAAGTCCAGTGATTCGAAACCGCCTTCTCTTATGATTAATCAATCATTCGTAAAATGAAAATTACAGTAATTCCGCTCATAAAGACATGAATGCTGATTTTAAAACTCTGACTAACAGCAGCACTGGACACAATACAGGGCTTGTTGCTTTTGTATTTTCCCAACAGATAAAAAAAACAGGAAAACAATCATTTTTCCTATTGTGTTTCCATCACTTTTCAGATGGATATCCTATCTTCTGGTTTTTAATTGGATAAAATCAGATTGTTGCTTTACGGACAAATTTGAACAAAAAGCGAATTATTGCTCACAGTGTTGTGCGTAGTTGGACCTCACCATTGTTTTCCAGTCAGGGGTGACACAGTCATCTACTGATGGCTAAACTGGGGGAAACATACTAAACTAAAGCCTATTGACTGAGTGAATATGCCAATTTTGACACCATGAAGAATGAGTGAGTCAAAGAGCATATTTATTATACTGAGCATTAACCCGTTGGCTGTGGTCTGTAAATGGCAAACTATCATCTATGAGTTACAGTATACTATATACTGTTATATGCTCATGGAAACCATTTATCAGCTGCACTTCAGCCAGTATCATGGCACCAAGCTCATTCTAAACCTGTCGTTTGGTATCTGCAATACAATGCCGAATGACTTTGGATTGAAAAAGAAAAGAATGGATGCCGTCTATATCAGCGAGCAACAAAAAAACCAGCCGAGGCACACTTGCAGCAGTAATCAGGAGGTATAGCACGAATCATAGAGCCACTAATCAGAGCGGCGGCAGCCTTCCTCTTGTGCGGCGTGCACAGTCTGTCTCTGAGTAACGCACTGGCAATCAGCAGAAAGTTGCTGTGACACCTCATATGGGGTGAAGGACGGTGTGGAACAGACTCCGCTGTGAAAAGGTCCACCATCAAAAGATATCTTGCTCTGTAGACTGTTTTTTCAAACTACACAAAGGCCCGTGAACGTTGCTGTTCCACTTTATCCTGATTCTTTTGTCAGATCAAACCAACACGTTGCAAATTCGCATCAATGTTTTCCAGCCCTAAATAAGTAGTTTTGGTTTTCTAACTGAAAGCGTGATGTCAGGGTTAAGAAAGATCAGTTCCTCA